AGATCCGACGACCATCCACGCCGCTGTCGACCGATGCCCTTTCGACGAGTAAAGGCAGCCCCACCGCAGAGCGATATTTCGGCAGAGGTGAGTCTTCGTTTTGTATCGAGTATCTTGGGGTTTTGCTAATATCGACAGGAGGTGTGCAAAATCTTCGGAAGGATAAGAAGGACAAGAAAGACGAGAAGGAGAGGAAGAAGTCTACAGGGCTGCGCGGCATTAGGGGATTCGTCTAGCCTTGTATAAATTCTTCACAGTTGCAATTATCGTTGTGAAGCATTCTTGTCTAATTCGAATTCAGTGGGAAGCTGGACGACGTTCTGGACCTGGAAGCCATATGCTGTTTAAGAAGAAGCTAGGTAGCTGCGTTTCTTGCTTGTAACAATACCTGATGGCACTCTTATATATTGATACCCTCCCAGTTGATAGCATCTTCTGCATTAAGAGCAAAACGATTACAGTCTTGCTAAATCTGCCTCTTGTCCCAATCCCAAAGAAATGTGAACGGCATGGCCTTGTCTTTTATACCTAGTGATTTAATGAAGCTTTGGTGTTATTCACTTCCGTACTCATGTCTAGCGTGTGTCCCTAGTAAGGGGAGCTACTTCGTTTTGACTAGACTTCATGGCTAACAGAACTTGTACATATGGCTAGCTATACGGGAGGTTTAATTAGATGGCCCCAACTCATACGGTGCATGCCAACTGAAAGCCATAGGCTATACCAGCTCCTTGGAAGCGAATATACGAGAATACACTATTACAAAACTAGACTAGTAAAAACTGGACTATTAGTATTGGTTTTTCGAGAGTTAAATAATAAATGAAATAAGTGTATGAGTGAGTATCGTGTTCTACCTGGGAATATATATTTATGTTCTCACAATGCGAATAGAAAATGAATCCTGAAGCTCGGAGTCCGGATGACTCGGATGTGTGCCGACGGCTTCCTGCCTGCCTCGGTACCTGCACCTTGCCGTGGTGGTATTTGCTTCTATAATTGTATCTATATAGCACACACCTAAGTTCTAGTTGCGCTACCTTAATGATGTGTTATCATTACATATGTAGTAAACTTCATGTGCATTAAGGAAAACATTACTAGGTGATGGCTGAGTCATGCCGTTGTGTCAGCCACTGCCATGAGTTAAAGCCAGTCAAGCCCAATGAACTGGTTAATGCAGGAACAGATGCAGCCCTTATGCAGGAGTAAGGGGCCCCCGCAAAACGCGCGTAGCCAGGTAGCCCGCTGACAAGATTTTACAGATTCATCCGGTCTCTTCTTTCTAAAGTCCAGATAATATTAATTCATGTACGAAAAATGTATATCAAGTGATGTTTCCCTTTTCATACAATAAGAATGGTCTGGAGATGCGCGTAACGTAAGATACTTACATAATAGTAAGAATGGAATGCCTGGGCTACAGCAATGCCAACGAAGATCATGTAACCTGACTTGTACAGTCCATCTGGTACTGTGCACACTGTCTCATCTCTCGCGAAGATCATGATGCTAGTGATGGTTTATGGGTCAATACGAGGTTTATGCACGTCATCGTTGTCAATTTCCTTCCACTAGCAAAATATACCAAGCACAACCCGAGTTGGGCAACTGCCCAGCTTCGTCCTGCCCGGTGACATTGACTTGGCCACACATCCGTGAAACTGTCAGATAGAGTTCTTGTTTCTCTGAAACGGGCGGTGCAGAATCTGGGGTCACATCACCTAATACGGAAGCACCCTTATTCACAACGTTCTTTCTTCACAATAATCATACTCCGTACTATGTACATAAATCGACTAGTACATAGGGAAATGGGAAGAAAGAACAGCCCTAGCTAAAAACGTGCTTTTAGTGAGCAAAACACATATGGGGATAAGTGGCCCCCTGGACCTTGTTTGTTTCCTGACCTTTTTCTTGTCCAGGGGTAAATCGGATGACAGTGCTTTGATTGGGTCGATCGATGAGCCACTCAGAGACTCCACTCCCTCGGGACCAAGATGGGAAAGCAGGGCACGTAAGGATGGGGCCGTGGCGGTTTATGGGGCCACTTGGGGTCTTTAGGCAGCCTAGAACTGCAGGAACTGTACCTTTACGAACGATTCAGTCGTCCCTATTGGCTATTAGGCAAGACATTCAACTGGCGCGTCTTTGCCAGGAACACAGCTCATGTCTAGGAATGGAAGAAAGAGGACCAATAACAAAATGTTACCCAAGTTTACGTGCTATTTTTATTACGTGTTGGTACAAGTATCATGCCTTCTCCCCTGTCACTTGTCTTTCCAGTTTTTTTCTCCTCCATCCGTATTCTTGTTTCCTACCTAAGTATATACTGGGGATCGTCCGACATTGACGTGAATCACTTTCGTTAATCCTTCTTCTTGAGTAGTCTTTTTTTTGCATAGAAACTACCGCTCTCTTCCTGCTTGTTTGCAATTTAGACTATCTACACTCGTTTGCTAGGTTGAATCACTTGCAACCGCCCCAGACTCAACCTGTGCCTGCCTACCTGAGTATTTACACCCGTCGGTATCTCAATCGCCTCGGAGAACAGGAAAGCTGATAGAATTCCTATTTTGTTTTTGTTGATCCAACACAACACGACATCCTCATCAACATTACATCCTAGGAGCATCCTAGAAACTTCGTATCTTCTTAATAAACTGAGCCCTGTAACATAATCACCATGCACACTATTGCGTCTATCCTGGCCTTGGCCACCACGGCCTCGGCTATCCAAGGCTTCAACTATGGCTCTACCTTCACCACCGGTGCTGCCAAGACGCAGTCCGACTTCGAGAACGAGTTCACAACTGCCCAGGGCCTCGAGGGAACCTCTGGTTGGACCAGCGCTCGTCTCTATACTATGGTGGTAAGTACAAAATTCTGTATAGAAACTCTTCATAAACTTTCTCTCTAACGCGTCTTCCTAATTTAGCAAGCTGGAACTGCCAGTGACCCTATCTCCGCTATTCCTGCTGCCATCAAGACAAAGACATCCCTACTCCTTGGTCTGTGGGCCTCGGGTGGTGACACTTCTTTCGCCAACGAGATTCTTGCCTTGAAGGCCGCTATCGACCAGTATGGAGATGACTTTGGCAAGCTTGTGGATGGTATCTCTGTTGGTAGCGAGGATCTGTACCGAAACTCACCTATGGGAATCGCTGCTGGTTCCTACGTCGGTGCTGGACCGGAAACTATCGCTCGCTACATTCAAGAGACCAAGGACACCATCGCTGGCACCAGCCTGGAGGGAGCCCCCATCGGCCACGTCGATACCTGGACTGCTTGGTACAACGGTTCCAACCAGGCTGTCATCGATGCGTGCGACTGGCTCGGTATGGATGCGTATCCTTACTTCCAGGACACGATGCCCAACGCCATTGGCGAGTCCAAGTCTCTCTTCGACGAGGCCCTTGGAAATACCCAGCAAGCCGGTGGCGGAAAGCCGGTCTGGATTACTGAGACAGGCCACCCCGTCAGCGGCAAGACTGTTGGACAATCCATCGCATCGACAGACAATGCTGAGACCTACTGGAAGGACGTCGTTTGCCCTCTGATCGACAGCAAGACGAACCTCTGGTACTACACCCTCCAGGACGCTGCCCCCGATACCCCGAACCCCAGCTTCGGTCTTGTCGGCAACAAGCTGTCCACCACCCCTCTTTACGACCTGTCTTGCGACAACACCAACTCCGAGTCCTCCTCTTCCGCCAGTGCCTCGTCAACTAGCCAAGCTGCCGGTTCTTCTGCTTCCGGAACTGCTTCTGGATCTGGCTCCTCGGCCACCGAGTCTGCCTCGTCTATTGGAAACTCTGGTGGCAGCCCGGGTGGTGTACCCAGCGCCCAGATCTCTAGTCAAGAATCTGCGACCGTGACACCCACGGCTATCGCCCCTGGTGCGACCGGTACTGGCTCCGGCTCTGGTTCCGGTGTCGGTGGCTCCGGCTCAAGTGCTAATGGCACCTTCACCGCGCCCCCGGCCGCTACCTCGACCATCCCCGCTAGTGGCGCGACTGGCCTTCAGTCTGGTGCTTTCGCTGCCGCCTTCGCTGCCATCATGGTCGCAATCTACGCCTTGTAAATTCGCGAATTTTCTCTACCGGGCGGTGTGATTCACGGTCGGCGTTATGAGGCGGCCAAGGTGGCCTTGAGGATCGGCTGACTGTACTGTACTCTGAAGACATATGAAGGAAGCCATGATTTGGCCACGGAACAGGCGGATATAGACAGGTTTTGATGAACAAAATCCCTTGGCAAGGAAAGTAAGGAAAGGACAAACTGCTACCGGATTGAGACTACACTAAAACTTTGTAATGCTCTCTCGATAAAAGCAGAGAAGGCTAGTCGCCGTTAAATTCATTACACATATTTGATCCCTATTCATGACCTTGATGACTTTCATTCATGGCAAAGTGACTGTAAATTTACGATGTTGATTTCTTGTATCGTTGACAGCTAGCTCTATGCTAGGTAAGGATAGGTGACCAACGCAATGCTAATTGAAGGGTGAGGCAACATATTTATCTAACCTAAGCATACGCACGTCTCAACGCCTAGATCAGTCAAACAGGAAAGGATGTTCCAAAATGAAATTGAAAAGAGAGACATAGACTTTTTGCAAGTCTTGTTTCTCTCTCTAGTTGAAGAGAAGCTAGGAATTGCCGTCCAGGGCTGCTTTGCTCTGCTAATTTGGGGCATGGATATTTACCCCTGATTATTGACGATTCCCGTTCTTCAAGACTATGATGGGGAGGGGGGATATATGTAAGGCAATCAATGTTTGCTAAGCCTTACCTACAGTAGAAGACTGCATACCACCTAAGTAGGTAGGTACCCTAATGAACTGACTGGGCCGTGGAATATAAATTACGAGTGATAAAAAAGGGAAAAGAACAAAGTCGAAACTCACAGGGTGACAGCAATGTGAGCCAGGGGTCAAAGGCAAAATAGCGTCACCCATTTGCCACACAGGTTAGATCTCCTTCATCTATTTGGAAAGCTTCATGGCGCAGTGGCAGCGCACCAGGTTCATAGCCTGGGTGTTCCCCGTTCGACCCGTGGTAAAGCTAAGTATTTGTTATATTTTTGAACCCATTTTTCGTATGATCCTATCACCGGTTGCCCATTAGAGCTTTGTGGTGCAATGGTGCACACCAGACTTGCAATCTGGAGATCCTCCGTTCCACTCGGAGTGAAGCTAAGTTGCTTTTTATGAAATTTTTTCCAGTGATATGTGTGACAAGTAACCACCTATGCCATATTCTAGCACAGCTAATTTCTAAATGGTGGAGGTTAGCTAAAGAGCTTCACGGTGCAGTGGAAGCGCGCCGGGCTCATAACCTGGAGGTCCTCCGATGGAAACGGAGTGAGGCTACCGAATATTTTTTAAAAAAAAATAATAGTTTAGTTTCCTTTATTATCTCTCTTCTCATCTTGTGTTCTGTTCGCTCCTTTGCTTTCCCTTATTAACCCCTGTCCGCCCCCTTTACTCATCTTCACTTAAACATCCCTATTTTTTCATTCTAACTAAGCCAAACATTCCTAATTAGAGTTAGATCAAATGAGGCTCTTCGATATCATCGATCAATCAGCTCCCAGCAAAGAGACGGGAAATTGCCGAAATGGGAAGGAGAAAAGGGGGGCCGGGTGGGGACAGAACGTTGAAAATAGGTTCCCCGGAAAGCACGTCAACGGCGACCCATCTCACGACATTATTTTAGAGCCTTACATAGTACCCGCTCAGCTTTCGTGTTTCCCCAAGCACAGGCATCCGATCGACCGGTTCTTTTTTCCGAGTTTTAGATCTGTCGGTACCTGCGTTAAGCCACCTGATATAGACTCCCGCATCTTTAGATCAAGCTGCGGATCTCTCCACACATGAGGCTCAACCGAAGAGGTATCTACTGACATCAAGATATCGATACAGCTATTATTGTATGACGTGAACTTAATCGTTTAGGATTTTAAACTCTGAAAAGGCTTTGAAACTTCCAAATCAACTCCATTATATTATTAATTTAAGGATCTAAAATATATGCTAAGTTCTTCATCGCTATAACAAAACGCGTTGCTCAGTACGGGACACGCGGCAAAGCGAATAGATAACATGAACCGCATCTATTCCATACGCGTAACCAAAGGATATATTGTTGCATACCCCAAACCCCTTTTATAGTGTCCTATACCCAACCCCAAACGCCCAATCAACCACCCAGTAACACCAATAATATCCGCTGATTCATTCCGTAGTCGTAAGTGTCCGGATATATGAATCATAAATCATTAAAAGTCATGTCGACAATGGTCAAGCCAGTGTCTCATAGTTCGTAGCCGTATGTTCCATGGCACTATCACAGACTCACGCTTCATCCTGGTCGTTCTCCTGAATCGGTGCCATATGGCTATCCTCAGTCTTCATCCCACTCTCCTCGGAGATATCTTCATTTCGGTCCCGCTTAACCGCGAAGCATTGGAAGGCGCCAATCACAGCAACAATAGCACTGCCGTACCATGCGAGCCCAGTGCAGTCAATTTGGGAGCCAATCGAGTAGAGATATCCAGCGACAGGTGGGGCTACCATACGGCAAGCAGCTCCGGCGCTGGCTGCTAGACCATTTACTTTCCCAAGAACCGACGAACTAGGAGTAGCATCCTTGATAAGGATGAGGAGAAGAGGGTACAAGATGATGGAGAAAAAGTTCCTGATAGTCAGGCAAAAGTAAATCCCAGGATATAGCAGCGACTCTGGCAAATGGACCAAAGTGGGGACGATAACATAGGCAATCGGATGCAGGATAGTGACAAGAATAAAGAGCCTGAACACACCAAATTTTTCAGCGGCTAGGGGAAAGACGACAACCTGAAAAAAGAGTGCAATGACACCATTGACTGCCATGACGAATCCTACGGACTGCATTGAGAGGCCTAAGCCACCGGGCGAGTAAAGAGGATTCAATCTCGAGAAGAAGCTCCCGTCCGCAGGATAATCCATCGGAACTTTATCGTCCTCAAAGAAGATGGGGAGCAGATGATCGTAAGTCATCGAATGGTAGGTGAAAATTGATAGCGCAACAACTAGAGCCATGATGCGCTTGGTGAAAATGTTGCAGGAGTTCTTCTTTTCCGCTTCCTTCAGGCAAACTGCGTCATGACTGAACTCGACACTGTTCCTGCTTCGGAAGGTTCCGTATGTTTCGGCCCGAAGATCAACTGCCGGTTGCTTGATTGCGTCCGAGGTTTCCATGAGGGGAGTCTCATCCGAAACATAGGTGTCATCGGGAAGCATCACGCGCGGTACCATATCGGGATGCGTTTCCTGAAGTAAGAAGTATCCCAAGCAGATACTAATCAGCAGCAGGGCAGCACAACAAAGGTTGGGAAGGAGATAGGGGAAGTTGGCGAATAGGGTGCCTTTCGGGAATGCGTTGGGCCAGGATTCATGAGGATCTGCCAGTATTCCTCCGATCGCTGGTCCAATGATCGTACCTATGGACCAGACAAAAGGCATCACAGAGTAGGCACGAGCTGCGACATTAGTACTGCGATTTTATCTTTCGAGGTGTAGCTTAGAGATTGTACTTACGCTCGTGCTCGGGTTTGGAGACCAACTCTCCAACCATCGTCTGGATAACGCCAATGTTTCCATTGAGAAGCCCACCAAGCGCTCGGCCGATTAGGGCAACCCAGAGATTGGTAGCAAATCCCACCATCACCATACTAAACATGGTGCCAATGCATCCTACTAAGAGTACAGGCTTTCGGCCGATTCGGTCTGACAATCCACCCCAAAACATGCCCATCAGCGCCTCGGCAAGGGCGAAAGAGGAGATCTTGAGCGTTTACAGTTAGCCATCGTTGATATGAGTCTAATAGACTAAGTGAAATCATGAGGGGGGTTTTGTTTTTGTTTTTTTGGTTTAAGAATTATTAGTGAACAGGCTCAAAGCCATATTCCTGTAGTCTAAACAATAAATTAATTAGAAGACGGAAACTGAAATATACATACGAGGAGACCGGCGTAGAACGAGGCATCTTGCTCGTTGCCGACCTTGAATCGTTTGACGAGAGCCCAGGCATAGGGAAAGATGGAGGTAAGGGCAATAGGCTCGGCTAGACGAACGATAGCTAACAGAAAGAGCTGAACAGTCGGGAAGTCATCCGGGTTTCGGGGTGATCTCTGCTTTGTTAGGACCATTGCTTCACAACTTAGTATCGGTCTTACGACTAGCTGGCACAGCACTCGACGCTTAGTCTTGAGCTCGTAGAAGCACTGAAGCAGTAGAGCAAGCGTCAAGTATTGTGTCGGCAGGCAGTGCCTCTTGTTTCCTCCTGTTGAATTATAGTTTGTACGCAAAGAGCTTCCTTCGCGAACCCTTTATCTACGCCACTGGACGTACAGAAGACGGTTGGATAGGTAGAGTAGGGTAGTAGTGGCGTGAGATTTGTAAGTTGAGAGGTCGCGGATTATCGTCCGAACGCACGTCTAGGAATTAAATGCTGCGGATGAGATGGTAAAATAGAGAGAAGGAGTTTGCATGTGCAGCCGCTGCATGAAGTAGGAGAAAGAGTGGTAGGAGGTAGGGTGACAGACGAGGGCAAAGATAGCACCGCATCAGAAAAATATACCATGAATCGGAGGTGCCAAAGAAAATAGGTGGGGTGCACTAATGATGCCTGGAGATGCGCTGTATGGTTCCTCGGATGTGTGGATCTGCTGTAACCATGTTAGGGACTTAGTCCTACTTGTTCTGAGGAAGCTCCGAACGCCAAGTGCAACCAAGTTAGATATTATCAGACAGTCACAGTCTTCTATCTCCATCGTCAGTTCCACCAACTTCACCCATAACTTTTGACGGGTGGTTCAACCTCAAAGCAGAAAACGCCATCGGGTACCAACCGCTGCTGATCATGGAGATGCAGGCTGTATGGACGATTTCCAGTTGAAAGTATCACAACGGATATCCATGATAGTGGCCAACGGGGCGTAAACGTCCACATTCTGTTCCCTCTTTTCCTTTCTTCTACACCTTGTGTCGGCATTGCACGTGTGCAACAAATCTGCGCCTTCGCACATGTCCACCCATGTTGATCTCACAGTCGAAGATATACAGTACTGTTAGTAATAGAAAGCCATATGGCCCACCGAGGGATGGCCGAAGTGATCAGCAAGGCACTTGTCGGGTAATGACAGGAACAAGCCAGTTTGGATTGTCAAATGTAGCGGTCTGAAAGCAAGCTATGCAGGCTGCCTGCCTTAGGTACTGTACGAGATTCCAATCCTTTTTTCACTTATCATTTCCAAGGGCTAATATCGTAGCCGCCAATGCACGGTCGTCACTTTCTTGATTCCCGCCGCACGATGTGCAAGAACACTACAGATGTCGTTCCATTTTAGATGCAACATCTCTGTGAAGATGGGGAGATGGGGCTTTGAGCCTAGACTTAACGTTGCGATCTACTGATTGCAGAATTGACCAATCATTTAATATGGATTCTATGCTATTTATGGGGTGAAATGCTGTACCATGTCGTACTTGCGGCATCGCTTCAAACTTTACTTTCGTACAGACGTATCAATGTGCTCAAAATTTTCAGCCATTCCCTAATGGAGATATCCTTCAGACGCTAATGGCGGGGGCAAAAGGCGCTAGCGACATTGTAAGCCTGTATCCACTTCGCTTCTTCAAAGCAATTGTGCTTCCTGCTATTCTTCTAGACTCTTCCTGAAGGACGGGAGTCAAATATTGGTTACCTATCTTACCTACCTAGTCCGCTGCTGGTGATACTGATGAGGAGGGGAAGGAAGAGGAAGTGGGAGAGGAAGCACAGTCACCGCCATTCGCACAAGTATAACGACAAGCCTGGACACCGGTTTCAATCGAACTCTATTACTATTCAAGCTAACAAGGATGACTAGGTACTTAGCCAGTTAGCGAGTTTGGTAATATGACAAGTGGACATGCTGTTGCAATTTCTCTCTAGTCATCCCGAGGTCAACAGACGTGGAGAACTCGGCTTCTCTTCATCTCATAGACATGAGACCTGTCACAACGTATATCAACTAGCCAGA